ACATCAATCTCATGTTGTTCAATGCCTCTTTATAATCCTAGTGAATTTCTTTTTAGGACTCCCCATAAATATGAGAACCTCTCTCACTTTCTCTCAATCACTAATCCCAAGTGATCACTACAAAAATTAGAATAATGAATGTTGAATCAAAATTCAAATAAAAAAGTAAAATCTATTCCTTTATATATGAATGGATGTGCTAGCATTGTGCACAAACAACAACAAAAACAAAGACTCAAAGTATAAACCCTAACACATGATTCTTCAATACTTTCTTTTCTTATACGTTAGGTTTTAGTCTCCTTAAATAACAATGTAGATTATGGGCTTTTCCAATGGGCATTTGATCACGTCCAGAATTGTAGGATATTCTGTTAAGATTTGTTTTTCAAATATCTTCCAAAAGGATTTGATTTGATTCAAATTTAAATATCCATTTAAATTGATTTGGTCATGCCCAATTTAATCAAACAAATCTACATAAATGCATTGCTAAAAGATATCAACAAATATAATTGAGTCCCAATCAAAAATTACGCTCAAAACAACATCCATCATGACCTATTGAAAAGGGTCACATGTTGCACACATGCTGGAACATCTGGTTCCAAATGGGTCATTTCTTCATTAAAACATATTGCACATATGCTGGAACATCAAATTCCACGTGAGTCATTTCTTTACCAAAACATCCATGTTGTTTTGGATAATGGAACCAATCCAATAGGAATAACAAAGACCGTTTATTGGTTGAAGCTTCTAAAATGAAGGATGCTGATAAGAATCAAACTAACCTATAAACAACAAAAAAATACCAGAAAAATTAACTAGATAAGAGCAAGATAGTTATCTATAATTTAGAAGTATAATACAACTTGTAACAATAGTGGGCTAATACACATATTTTGATTATTAATTGTACAATTTAAATCTATTATGTAGAAGCTAATAAAACTTGAAGAAAGAAACATCATATAAAGAATCTTATACTTATAATTGAACCTGGTATGTTCACTAATTCTTTTTAGTTAGATGAGCTGGTGGGAGAGATATCTTTTGAGGATACACATAAGGATCTTTTCTCTCTCTCTCTCTCTCTCTCTCTCTCTCTCTCTCTCTCTCTCTCTCTCTCTCTCTCTCTCTCTCTCTCTCTCTCTCTCTCTCTCTCTCTCTCTCTCTCTCTCTCTCTCTCTCTCTCTCTCTCTCTCTCTCTCTCTCTCTCTCTCTCAGGCTTATAAATGTATGACCAACAAACCCAATAAATCTTATAAGTGCCTTTGTACCCCCTCCCCAAAAAATAAAAAACCTCTAGATCGTCACCAACCTTTTCCAAACTTTAATAGGCTTCTTCGTAAAAGAAAGATAAAATATGGGTGTAAAATAAGAATCGAGTTGATTATGACAACCACACCACCCAAATCAAAATATTGAATATCCCAAGAAACAAGCCTTTTGGAAATATTTATAGTAAAAGGATCTCAAGTATATTCATTGAAAGGGTTTTCTCCAATCTTCTATTTGTAGTGTAGGAAGTCATCGACCATTAACAAAAATCCAGGGAACAATTAATCCTTAATAAATAACTTTTAGAGAATTTCACCCACAACCCAAAAGATAACTAAAAATCCTTCGAGTATTGATTTAATTTCTAAAGATTATCAATTGTTGTCTCTCCTAAAACCAATTTATCATTTGCATACTGAAGGTAATCACAACACCAAATATTCTTGCCTAGAAGCTATAGAAAAGACCAAGTTATACCGCCCTCCAGGAAAGCCTATTAAAGTCCTCTATGATGAAAAAAAATAAAAAATAAAGAGGGCTAAGTGGCTCCCTTGTTTAAAGGTCCCTCTAAATGTTAATATCTTGAATTGAACACCCAATAATCAGAACCTTTAGGTTCATTATAAGAACGCAAACCTGCATCCATGCATATTGTATATCCCAAAAACTAAGTATAACTAACATATAGTCTAGGAAACTCTAACTCACTAAATCATGCGAATTTCAAAATCCACTTTAAAAATGAGGCAGTTCGTATTAGATTTTTCGTCCCAATCTAGAGGCTTATTTAGTGCCACCACATCATCAACCAATAATATTCCTTTAATTAAAAAAATATAACTAAAAGAAATGATTTTATCCATAACTTAAGATAACTTTGAGGGCCACACTTTTTCCATTAGATTATGTAAACACTTGATTAGGAAGATAAGTCTAAAGTTTTCCAATAGGGTAGGAGAGTACACCTTCGTAATTAAACTAACAAAATAACAAGCAAAGCTACAAGGTAAGATGGTTATTAAAAATAAATAATAAAAAAAAGATCCCCATATCCGACCTAAGAAGCTCCTAGAATATCTCAATGAGGGTAAATTGAATATTGTAACATCCCAAAATTTGCCCTTCCGTTTTTGGTCGTATTTATCTTATGTTTCATTCATTTCGCATTTTTGCATATCATGATATTGGCTCTCGAGACATTGGATCAAGGTGTTTCTATGGCCCGAGGTTTCCTTCTACTTCCAGTTTCTCAACAAGTATCAAAAGCTTCAGTATTTATTTTGACCAGCAATCGAGTACATGAGGCAATTCACAGGTTATTTCAGGCATTTTACAGGTGCAATGTCAAAGGACAAGTTTCAGAGGCTTAACAAGGTTCATAACTAGGGATGGCAACGGGGCGGGTCGGGGGCGGGTTTAACTATACCCGCACCCGCACCCGCCTCCATGTAACAGACCCGCCCCCGCCCCCAAATCCAATCGGGGGTGAAAATTTACCACCCAGACCCGCCCCCAGTAGAAAACGGGTGCACCCGCACCCGCCCCGCCCCCACCCGCAAAAAATTATTATTTTTTTAATTATAATAAAAATTAGTAATTTAATTAAAAAATTGATTATTTTAATAAATTAATTAATTATTTAATTAAAATTTTAATTAATAAATGAATATTAACTTGATTAATTTTATTATTTTAATTGCAATAAGAATATTAATAACTTAATTAAAAGTATAATTAATAAATAAATATTAAAATAAATAAAATAAGGAAATCAAAATAAAATATATTATTTGGGGCGGGGCGGGGGCGGGTGCGGGCGGGTCTTAGTGTCTACCCGCACCCGCACCCGCACCCGTAGTTAAGAACCGGGTTTCACCCGCACCCGCACCCGCACCCAATTAAATCGGATTTCCCCCGTTAATTTCGGGGCGGGCCCGGGCGGGTGTGGGCGGGCCCGGGTTTGTTTGCCATCCCTATTCATAACAGATGACAACGGGTGGTTACGCAAGTTTCACTCCACATGGTGCCAAGCTTGACAATTTTTGAATGTGGTAATCGGTTACCACATATGGGTAATCGATTACCTCAGACGTATTTTTCAAAAATGATTCAAATTTCAGCACTGCAGAATTTCCAATTATTTTCAACCTTTGATCTCACATGGAAGGATATATAATTGATTCATTTTCATCATTTTCCTCAAAAATTCAAACACTTCATTTCTAAGAAAAGATTTGTGGAAAACGAAAACAAAGAAATGAACTTGCTTGATTCGTGACACCTTCCTTTGATTCATACTAGTTTGAGAAGTTATGTTGGAGTATTGTGAAGTTAGGATGGAGTTTTGAGAGATTGAGACAACGCGAGAGAAGTTAGAGTTTCATGCATACAACACAAACTTTTCTGAAGTGAATTAAGTTAGCTTATATAGGTAAACTATTTCACAATGATTGATAAAACCAACTGTGGTGATATGTCATAATATTTCATCACAGTTGTTAATCTGGACCGCGGTGACAAATTTTTTAATTTTTATTTAAAATTAGAAATAAAGAGAACACACCCTTTTATTAACGAAAAAATACAAAAAAAAATGTAGGTGTTGTGTTTCGAAGCGTGTCACTCTTAACATATCACAACGGTTATTAATTATTATCGTGGTTATGTAAATTAAAAAAAAATAAAAAATAAAGGCTCCTAATGAATACATATTACCTCGGTTAGATATATGATTGTGGTAAGAGATTGTTACGAAAGGTGTCTTTTATAGTAGTGATTGAACCTAAAAGGCTTAGAGCTTCAAACTGATTAGAATACCTAAGCACCAACGAGAAGTGATCAGACGTGTCTCTCGTTAAGACCCCCTATTAGGCCACACCCCACGGGTCTCACCAATCATCTAAGACCTCCCATTGAATTGATATCATGTGAAATCCTACAAAGAAGAGGTAGATCAAAGATCTCCATTTAAGAGAGAAAATTATTGAAAACATTCATTTTCGAATGAGGCTCGGGTATCTGAAAGCCATGCACATTCCTCTACTTATCACATAACAGACAAAACTAAAATCACCAGAACTCTCCAACTAGATTAGTCTTTGCTTCTTACAAGATCATTTCACATCTTTCTATTAACAAAAATACACTTAAAATAAACAAACTTATGAATCCCCGAACAGAGAGACGGAAAACCAAAAAACTTGATCCAACAGAGCAGACAAGAGATACATCCTTTGAACTACACTAAATAAAGAAGAGACTACCACAATTATTAGAAATTGGGGGTTAGACTCCAATTGTAGCAACATCAAAAAAAAATATCTCAAAATTTTTTTTGACATAAAGTGAGAGAGTGACAAATTAAGAATATACAATTAAAAGATAAAAATAAAAATTGTATTGAAAAATCTTTTAAAAAATATATTTAAAAAACCAAGGTAACAAATAATAGTAAAACCTAATACTAAAAGTGATACTTCTAGTACATCTTTATTAGTACTACTTTAATAATCTGTATAATTTCGTGCTGTCCTATGTTTTTAACATACCAAGGAATAATATAATCCTAACAAGTAGAAAAGGTGTCGGAACCCTAACTAGCTTTGACTTGGTTTTGGACTTTGAACCCCTCTATAAAACTCATGTTTTGCTAGTTAACTCTTCTCTCTTTCCCTTGTTAAACATACTAAAAACTCATAAGAAAAAGAAACACTAAGATGAAGTTCATCTTCATATTACTCTCAACCCTTTTACTAGGATGTCTCTTGGTTATGACTGTCCAAAGCAACACATCAACAATGGTTGTTTCAGGTAAAATAATATTTTTCATTTGTTTATCTACTTTCCAAATATCAAACTAAAGATTGCATGATGCAATTTATTTATGAGAGTTTTTTTTTCTAAAAGAAATACAAGCGATACTTCAACCCGTGTATAATTTGATAAATTACCGTTTATGCAGACGGAGAAAGGAACAAAAACAAGTCTGAGATGGGTGAAGTTACCGCCATATCGGCTCAAAAGGTAGTTTTTCAATCTCAAATACTAACCACAAAAAGTTCATACTTATGCAGTTCGACCATATATGCTTACGTCTGCGAGTATAGAGCTTGATCTTATTATTTGAAATTGAATGAACTAGGGTTTCAGTGTTACAAATCATATATAGTGTCAATATATGCTCTACAATTTATATGGTGATTATTAACTTTGTTTCATAATACTAATGATTATGTCTATGATTAGGAACTTTTTGAGAGAACTTTTGGAGCTTCTCCTATGAGGAAGTTAGGTTTTGGAACAATCATGCATCATGAAGAAAAAAGTGTGGATTCTGAGAATATTGAGAAAGGAGAAACTTCAAAGATTTCAGGTGCAATTCATTGTGATGGATCAGATTATAAAATTGTAAAATGTAGTAGTAAAGAGGAGATAAATATTAAACCAACAAGAAAGCTGAAAATGGATATTGGTTTTGTAGATTTCACTGATGATTATCATGGACCAAGGCATCACCTTCCAAAACATAACTAAGTGAAATGCATTATTTGTGAGTGATTTCATCAGTGTAGGAGTGGAAATTTATTTTTGTATATCATAAGTATATATCTATATATACTTTGGAAATTAATTTTCTAGACTATATATGAAAATGATCTTACAATTATGCTATATATAGTTATGAAAGAAATTTATATGTATATATTACTTCCATTCCACAGGTAAGGAGAATGGTGGTTTGAAGAAGTCTTTCAGAAGGTTATTCCAATTACAAAAGAGTGATGTTCATGAGGTGATTTATTTTAACATTTTTCTCTTATTATTTTTCTACATATATAGTAAATAATATTGAAACTTATATTCTTAAACCTTGATTATTCCATAAAATGATATATATTGTGAGACAAATGAAATATTCATTCTAACCTAATTAAAATTCAAACAAACAGAAGCATATGATAATGAGGCCAAAGGTATATTTGAAAGTCACCACCAAGGTTGCAATTTCAAGGAATAGTCTCACAGCCAACACAAACACCAAGTGTTCACAAGATTGTGATGATGCAAAAGAGAAATCATCAAGGAATGAACAAGAAATATCTAAACAAGCTCAAGATATTGATGCTGCAAAAGAGATTGAAAGCCTCATGTATAAGGATTATAATAATAAGGGAAAGCCATCACATAGGCCACCTATCAATAATCATGAACCTAATAATCCTTAGTGTTATATGATTTCAGGTTCACATTCAATTTTGTACTAAGTTGCTAGCAACTATATAATCTAAGTCCCTAGATATTTAATATAGTATAGGTTAGCTATATATTATAGTAGTTTTTTATTTCATGTGTCAATTGAAAAAAAAATAGTTTGTTTGTTTCTAAAGATATATATGTAGAACTCATGCAGTTTCAGAATTGTATATTAACTATATTATATCTTTTTAGCATCTTTGTTACAAATAAGTGAAATGTGATTTTGAACTTTGAAGCAATATATTTTTACCAGCCAACTTTGAAGATGTATAATAAGGTGACTTATATATCTAATTTCTTAAGATTTTAGTAGAAATATGACATGCACTTGTGAGAGAAATTATGAGTGTTTAAAGTGATTCTTCATTTTTCGAATTAGTTTCAGGTTTTGGAGCCAATTTTCATAATCATAAGAAGAATTTTCCAATAACTTCTTCCATGTTTATGATAGTCTTTTTTATAAACATAAGAAGGGTGTCATCGCTAATTTTCATAAACATAAGAAGGGTGTCATCGCTAATTTACGATAGTCTTTTTTGAGAAAATATAAGAAGAATTGAAACCTAATATCATATGATAGAGGTATTTCTAAGGAGACTTTGATCTTTGTTGCATCATCATCTAAAAGATTAATTTCATGTTTATGCATTTTTATTCTTTGGTGATGTTCATGATATTTGTTCTTGTTGTGTCATCACCAAAGTCTGTATGCACATAGAATAACATTAATCTTTTTTTTTTTTTTATGATGACAAAACACTTTTTAAAGAGGTGACTTAAAAGAAATGTTAAGATGAAAAGTGTGGTTTTATGCACTTAAAAAGGTTTTGATGATGCCAAAAGAAAAAAAAAAGTAATTTATCATAAACATTATCAAAGAATAAAGAAAGAATAACTTAAGTTAAAAATGAAGAAGTTTCTAATGATTGGTTTAAAATATGAAATGAGAAAATCTCGACATATGATCATGTGCTTGTTTGCTCCTAAATTCGACTTCTAGTTTGTAAACAAAGAAACAATAAAGAGAATTATGTGAAGTGATGTGAAAGTTTCGACAGGATTATAAGATTTGTTGTTTTGGTCGAAACTGCGCTTTTTGTGCGAGGGTAATGTGTTGAATAAGATGTGAAATAAAATATTTTAAATTCTTAGAATGCGGTTCGACAGAAGATGATATTTTGACGCGTGATTTGAATTAAGATAAAGGAGAGAACTTTTGTTCTTATCCAGATTTGTAAAGGAAGACACGTGGAGCTTTTCTAAAGAATGGATACATGTCGAACGCCACTTGTCACTTGTTTATAGGAAGACTGTTAGGGTCGGTTATTTTTATCATTATAAATAGAGGATTTTAGTGCTAGGATAGGGGGTGTTCTCAATGCATTTAGTTGCTTTCTATCAAGTTTTTTGCACTTTACTTCATTTAAGGTCTGAAGTTTATAGTTGTTAGATCATGGATAACATTGAAATCTTCGTTATTTCTCAAACTTCAAATTAAGAATTACTAGCATAAGTTCTAGGATTTGTGTGGTCGATCATGTACGTAATCCCATTTTTATTCAATTGGAAAGACCAGCGGTTGTTTACTAATTTTCTCGGTAAACAGTGCTCAAGTTGTATTATCTTTTTAGGATTGAGTGTGTAATATAAGTATAATATTCTCTAAGTACAAAAATATTCTCACATACTGCTAAAAAATGTGGAACACCCTTCACATTAACTATATGCGTACTACTAAGATAAAAAGGGTTAGGATAAACACATTGACTCACAAGTATGAATTATTTATAATGAAATTTAAAAATATCCAAGATATTCAAGAACTTTTCATTCATCCAATAACCAGAGTAAAATATTTCAAAATGAGGATTTGCTTTTATTGAAAAAAACCCAAGTCGAATATTGGTTAAAGATACAATCTACAAAGGGTTTATATAGAGTGACACTCCTCACCTTATCAAGCGGTTTTGTAGGGTTGAGTTAGGTCAAACTCTAATTCTATCATGTTATCATGCGTCTATAGATTTGAACCATCAACCATTTATATATGCGCACCAAGCCCAAAAAATGTTGGGCGCAAGGGAATGTATTGAAAAAACCAAGTCTCATATATCAATAATTCAGGTCACACACTGTTTATATCCACGCATCAAGCTGAATAGTGCTAGGCATGAGGGGGTGTATTGGAAAAAACACAAGTCCCACATTAGTTAAAGATACAATCTACAAAGAGCTTATATAGAATGACACCTTTTTACCTTACCAAACGGTTTTGTAGGGTTGAGTTAGGGCAAACTCTAATTCTAACATGGTATCACGAGCCTGTTGATTTGGGTCACTCACCATTTATATATATGCACCAAGTCCAAAAAGTGCAGGGGAGTGTATTGGAAAAACCAAGTCTCATATATCGGTAACTCGGGCCATTCACCGTTTATATTCACGCACCAAGCCTAATAGTGCTAGGCGTGAGGGGGTGTATTAGAAAAAAATCAAGTCCCACATTGGTTAAAGATACAATCTACAAAGGGTTTATATAGAGTGGCATCTCTCACCTTACCAATCAGTCTTGTAGGATTGAGTTAGTCTAAACTCTAATTTTAACATGGTATCAAAAGCCTCGTTTAAGATCCAGTGGACCACGTGCTATCAAGTTTTCGCTATCGGCCCACCCACCATTTATTTTCATGCTCCATATGTACAGTCCTAGACATGAGAAAGTGTGTTAAGAGTCCCACGTCGAATAATATATGACATGAACATGTGTTTATAAGTGGGATAATCTTCACTTTACCAACCGATTTTGTAAGATTGAGTTAGCCCCAACCACATTTTTTAACAGCTTCACTGAGTTATTAGATGCTTGAACCGTGAATAACAACCTAAAGTCATAGTGATTTCTGAAACTAAAGATTTATCTACTATAGATTTGACTACTTTATTTGATTGATTACAAAAACACAAAATTGAGTTAAATTATCTTGCTAAAAGCAAAGAAAACAATAAAGAACTTGCACTAAAAATTGTGTATTTCAAAGACATCGATTCAGAGGATGAAAACAACCAAAAATAAAAGTGATGGAGACATAAATATTCTATTTTTCATATTCAAAATATTACTAAGGCATGAATGCCACCTCCTAACTTTTCGAAACAAAGTTAAAAATAAATAAATAAATAAATAATTCTTTATTCCAATATGTTCTAAGGCGAAAAAAAAGTTTTTCATTAAGCAAAATTATCTGCAAAACTAAAAAAAAAAAAATCTACAAGTTACAAAATACCACAAAATAATTAAATAGAGCTTACACTATGCAAAATGACAACATAAACTTATCCGGTAAATTTAAAAAAGGGGAAGAAGACAACCTATATCCCTTGACAAATCAGGAAGAAAATGAGAAAAAAAGACTTTGAAACTAAACTTACCTATAATGAATCACTTAAGCTAGAAAAAATATATTGTTTTCATCTCTAAAAATCATTGCCTCTTTTAAAAATGAAAACAAAAAACTAACAAACAAATTAAATTATCATAGAGAAAAACAATATTTTTAAGTTAACACTCTCCTTTTACTCCTCTAATATTTTATTAGATAAATTTATCAAAAGTGTCTAGAATGGAAAGTTTTAGAAAATAAATTGAAGATTTGGATAATATTTCTTCTTTTTTCTCATAAGTAAAAATCATGAAACTAGTCTCTATGTATATAAACATTGTTGTTTCAATTAGAATATGTAACCGACAGTGCAAAGAGTTTCATCTCAATACTTTTAAGCTGTCCATTAACCCACCAATTGAAATAATTAAATTATAATAATCTGTAGAAAAAATACCAAAACCTTTAAAAAATTGTTTCAAACCTTATTTACCAACCTTATAATATTTAAATTATAATAATCTGTAGAAAAAATATCAAAACCTTTCAAACCTTATAATAATCTGTCCATTAACTCACTGCTAGACAATTTCATTTACCAACATATGTATAGTGTGTGACACATTGCACAAGCCTTTAAAACATTGTTTCAAACCTTATTTCATTTATAATAATGCTTCTAAAATTTGCATGATGTTCCAAGTTTCTGTCTCTGCCTCTTACTAAGATTCCTTTCTTTGCAATTAACAAAAGCTGGGATTAATAGCCTTTGAAAATTCTCAAGAAACTGGTTCCACTTCTCTTCATCCATATCTGTCAGCTTCACAAAACATGAATGCGTAACCAACTCATTCACACTATTATCTCCAGAAGAGCTCGCAACCAAAGAGCCGCTTCCTTGTTTCACACCTGAAAACTGCCAAGTTTTTTCATTGATCGCTGCATTTTTCACCAACACAGATAGCTTTGAAATATCACCTTCTTCCTCCTCCATTACACTCTCTTCTAGTTTAGAAAGTTTAATTCTACAGTTTCCATTTTTCATTCGGAATTGAGATGGTGATAACAGTGTTGGATTCTCTTCTATATTTAAGACTAAATCAGAATCCGGATCCTCGCAATCTAACTGAAAAAGGGTGGTGTCTTTGTCTCCTACTTTTGTTTCAAAAGATGATAAATCTTCATAGTCTAATAGCTTCTTTGCCTCAATACATATTAGCTCAAGCTCGCTAGGTTCTTCATCGTGACAGTGAAATTCTCTACTCATCATATCACCGATCTCAGCTAGACTAAGGCCAAAGGCTGCTGCTTCTTTGAGGAACAAAGTACAAAGAACCAAAACCCGCAAGCATGCTTCTCGGATCATTGGAAGCTCCATTCTAAGCATTTCTGAATCACGAAATGGGTCTAGTCGAGATATGTACTTCAGCTCATCGTCGGAGAAAGGGATTGAAGCTTGAGGCCAATGTATCCATTCAAAATAAGGATCTTCCAAATTTTCAGGTAGACAAAGACCATGATCGATAGGAAAAAGCTCGACCTGATCAAACCTTCCAAGCCCATCAAGCTTCTTGACGAGAAGATTTCCCGCGTGTCTGTCTGTGTTTAAGATGCGTACATCTAAAATTCCGATCCTATGAACAGAAGCAACAGGAAAACTAGAAGTTCCATGATCACTTGCATCAAAATCATGAGGAATGTAATGTTGGAGTGACGCAATCTTGCTTATTTGCTTCTTGTTAAGCAGCATATTACCATTGACCCTGTCGTTAACATTAAAAATAGTGTGTGTAACCTTCACAAGTGCGGTAGAAGGCACGTTCGCAAAATGATCATGATCAAGAAGGTAAGCTGCAACTTCTCTGAATCCCGTCTCCCCAACCCTCACCGACCTTTTCAAACCTGGTTGTCCGAGAGCTTTACCGACAAAACCTTTCGGATTGTTTGGTGCATAAGGTTCCTCATCAGTTGGTTTCACAATTGCGACGTTTTCACCATAAATGTTTCTAAAATAATATGCACCTCCTAATCCACTCTGAATACGGATTGGTTCGACGCCGTCTTTAATTGCCATGGTAATATCCTTAACTAGTTCTTTAGTTCCAGATAACATATTTGACTGACCTATAATCTCAATCGGCCCACTCTGATCCCTATGTTGAAGATCCCTACTGGTCGGTGAAAGGCACGGGGTAGATGAACTCCTATGTAAAAAATTCCGTGTGAGCAGAAGTGGAGAATCATTTCTAACTACACTTAAATCATTTTTCAAGACTGTGTCGCCACATATAAGTGAACTTTCCTCAGTCGGAACATTGAATGCTACCTGTAATTTCCTCTTCACAGTGTGTGCGTTGTCACTCCTTTCTAATTCCATGCTAAGAACACACCCGGTTTCTGTCTGAACAAATACACGTCTTCTACCCGAAGGCTTTCTTTCCATTTTCTTGATTCTGGAACATTCGCTAGGAGGTCCTTTGAAGGTTGCAGCCGACATCTCATCATGTAAACAGGTATCCAAATCAGGATACATGTAAGGAAAACGAGAAGAGGCAAACTCGAACCAGAGGCAGAGTGTTTTTTTTCTCTCAAGCAAACGCAGAACTCAGATGCTGGCACTTGAGAAGAGTCTTTTGCACGAACAATCATAGCCAACTCTACAAAATCCAAAACTCAGATGCTGGCGCTTGAGAAGAGACTTTTGCAAGAACAATCATATCCAACTCTACAAAATCCAAAACTCAAACGGGATCGCTCAACAAAACCGCTACATCGGAGATGTCACCTGACAAAAGAAGAAGCTAATCAATATAGAAAGAAAAAAAACTATAAAGATATGTTCCAAATTGAGATTGGCAAACGAAGACAAATTCACTTTTGAAATCCCAATAATGATCAGTCAAGCATAGGGAAAGGATGCTTAAATATTAATTTAACAACAAAGAACTTGATTTAGTAACTAGAGGATTAATGGTATCAAACCTATGATATCAATCTCGGATAGCAGCGCGGCGTAGCCATCCCCAAAAAGGGAACGGAAGCGGAGAGCAGAACAGTCTATATGTTAGTGACGTGGACACAAATGTTAATACTAATGAACACATGATTGTTAAAAAAAACTAAAATAAATTAATCAAAATTCATTGGAGAAATAAAAATCATAAGTCTTAATAAGCCACATAAAATTCAATAAAACAACCTTGCTATCCTTAAAAATTTAAGGGTAATATCATCTACCGCTGATGCGGCCAGAGCGGCCACATTAGAGCGGCATCGTTCCGAATCCAATTCCATTATCGTTGTTTCAGCCGACTCACCCATCTGTGACGGAACGGCGCGGCCTGACTCTGTTTTCTTGTTTTAGCTGTTCCGTGCCGAAATAACGGGCGGAACGGCCTAGTTTCATAACATAGTTTCAAACCAGTTCTTGCAATAATAGAAAGAAAAAGAATTTAATGTATATTATCTCCAACAGTGCAATATGTACTATGAGCAGTATCTTACCTTAGTCACTCCTAACAAATGAAACCAGTGTTAATCAAAGACTGTGGCATCAGTAGCTTGTTGAAAAGAAAAAAGATGCAATTGGTATTTAAAATACAATTCAGAGGTAAATAATTGAATTAGAACTGTTAATAGCAAAGCATGATGTGATTTGTATTCCAATAATTTCTTTCATTTTTCTCACTCAATCTAATCTCAACCACGTCATGAAATGAATATTTATTCTAACTTACCTTTCCTATATGACTAATCATCCCAAAAGTAAATGGTTTTTTAAACCATTGTTCAAACTCATAATCAATTAACTAATAAATTAAATTGTATCTTTTCTAACCACTCAAGTAGAGACAAACCGACTATCATTGTATAAAGACAACCTACACATAAATCCTATCAGCTGAATCATTTCAATGTCAAGATTCAAGTCCACAAGTATAAAATAGACTTCAATCCGTTTGTGCCTTTATAAGTGTCCTTTTTAATAAAACTTGTCAGTTTTGTTTTTCATTTTCACAATTCAAATAAAAACTAACTATTGTCATGCAAAATTTAAATGAAAACTAAACTTAAATTAGATCTCGTGCAAATTGGTACTATGGTACTATATCATAGAGGTGTACAAATGACTGGTTGGATCAGGTTTACGAGACCCGAATCCAATCATAAACTCGGTGAAACGAGATGACATAAGGATGGAAAAATACAAAGACAGGGTCTGGTTTGTATCAAGACAAGTCACCGATACAATAATATTATTAAAACAAACAAATCAACAAAACTTTTTGAATTATAAGGCAAAAACAATATAAATTTTAGTCAACAAATCACTTAAATCTTACAAAGAAACTAATCACCCATAAATTTCAACACATAATTGTAAAAACTTGCAAACATAAGCATCACAATGCTTTTTACTTACTAAAGTTATACGAAATACTAAAGTCATACAAAAGATGATGGAAATGAGAGATAGTACCCAAGTGAATTCTTAAATAAGAAAGAGAAAATAGTAAAAGAAAAAAGACTTTTGAGTGACATGAGTGACTATTATAAAATATAAAAATAATAAAATTATATAGGTGTCCTCAAATTCATTTGAGTCCTTTATTAACTATGTTTATATCTTGTTCCTATAATATTATCATATTTTTTAGGCCGGATCGAATCCAACCCATTGCTTTTGAACATAAATGGTTTAAAAGAAGGAGCCGGTGGGTCTTGTACACGTTTTAACTAATAATCATAGTGTTATGTCGTGTAAAGCTTTTGCGATTTTGATTGATATAAGTGTTACGACATTCATTGCAGTCCGTGTAGTGTGAATTAACCACAATTTATTGTTTAACGTAAAACTAATCTTATAAAGAGTGGCAAACAAGCATGTCTGTCTCTTTTAGATTCCTCCCGCAAAAGTTCACAAAAAACAAGGCGGGCGGAGCTTGCTTTGTTGAAGGTGCAGACCTAAAACTTGCCCGCATCAAAAAAAATGAGTACGAGGAAGGGTGGGTCTGCAGATATTTAAAAATTTCAAATATTTATTTTAATGCTGGTGTTCGAAAAAACAGAACGGAATGCAGACCTACAACTTTGACCCAAAAAATTAGGCAAATTAGACCGCTGGGGGCCCTTTTTTGCCACCCCTTATATCCATATGCCAACAAGTACAAAATAATATGAATTTGGACCCTCTTTTTTTATATGATCCTAACAAGGCGACAACACTAATTGGCTAATAACTAATTATAGGATACAACCATGAAAAATCCACAAAATAATAATAATAACCTTTTTTTTCAGTTTTCCATATTTATTTTCCCTAGATATAATATAATCCTATAAGAAAATATGTAAAACAAATACTTAGAAATTTAGATATCCACATTACAAAAACAAAGAATTTGCGTATATATTAAGTAACAAAATCGTCACCCGTCTTTTCAAAATTAAGAGTCTTATAATAATAATAATACTAATAATAATAATAATAATATATAGCATTAATGTTTGAATTTTTCCGTGTAAGAACAAGCGTTAATGAACCCTAATATTAATATTCCGTAAAAAAAATAAAAAAAAAATCTAATAATAATAAAATTCAATCAAAACAAATAACAATAATAACAATTTATCATTTGAATATCGCAATCGGAAAAGAAGCTCGCCTGCTTCAGCCTCCTGAATGAACAAACATGCTGCAAATTTCACTACCAAAAGCTTCAGTCATCGTAAACTTCACCTTCTCAACAATATCTGCAAAACCAAAATCATCAACAAATCTTCAATTCTAATTCACAAAAATAGAAATTCAAACAATTGGATTCGTAAAACGAAAATAAATCGATTAAATTTTAGATTTGAAGTTAATCTAAAACCACACGCATGATATGATTTAAAGATGGAATTACGAAAGTGTAATACCTCGTCGGCGAGAAGCTTCTGCAGCGCGTTGAGAGGAGGCTCCGCCGTGAGAGGCGGAGGAGAGATCCGATGAGAGATCAGTTCCAGTTAGTTCTGCAGATTTTTGTTATTACATGATTTCAAGGTTTAACAGGATTTTGTATTCTTATAGATTTTTATATTTTAAGTAAAGAAATAAATATATTTTTATTCGATTACTAAGTTTATTTTATTTTATTTTTTTTAATGGTGTGTTATGCTTCAAGAAAGTTTAAATATGTGGGCCAGTTAAAAATAAGAGTTTAGACACGTGGGGATGTAGGGCCCACAATGTTGCATGTGGCAGTAGTTGAGATGGATAGGTCATTTCGTCTTTTAATTTTTCAGCTTCCTATAAGGGAGTTTGATTGATACCGACAACAACATGGAAATCGAAAGATTAACTAAAAAAACTCATTTTTTATTTTTGTTCTTTTAGTTTGATGATTTTTAATATTTGATAATAGCATGTGAGTTTATCGGGATCATAGATTTATTCAGTGGTCAGTAATACGTCGTGGATTTTAAATTTGTCGATGATAGAGAAAATTTGTCGATGATAGAGAAGAGGAGGGAGTGTACCTGCAAGATACTCCGGTGTTACAGTAAAGTTTATAATAAAAAAAGAAAGAGTAAGTATAGGGTAGTGAGAATGAATTTAGAATACCTGTCCCATTATTAAAGAGAGAATTTATAGATCCCACAGCGTTGGGCCAAAGGTCACCTGTTGTGGGTTGGATCGTTAAGCTCACAACGGATGACTGTCAGGATCCTACGTGAAAGTAGGAAAGACCACCATTTGGTCTCCATCCTGTGTCAACTGCCCCACATTCTTCGAGAAGTGGACGACTTGTCAGTTACGAAGGGCAGAACGTTTCCACGAGAAACGCGGAATCAGTTGTTCACGTGTCCTCAGGTGAGAACCGTGTGTGGAGAACGTGCCCTCCTGCGATTATGATGGATAGGATATGTGTTAGGCCTTCTTCGACGCTGAGATGGACTGGGTTGTGCCCAACGGTGGGTTAGCCTCAGGCCCAGTCCAGAACAGTATGCATAATTAATCGGTTATTGTGTTTTGATAATCGATTATAAATTTGACGTAACTGGTTGCAAGCAGTTAGTTAGCTTCAGTTTTTTAGTTTGTTACTTGTGTCAACTTATATATATATATATATATATATATATATATATATATATATATATATATATATATATATATATATATATATATATATATATATATATATATATATATATATATATATATATATATATATATATTTATATATATGAGTTATCATTTTAATGCTTGCTGAATATTGAATGAAAATATTTGCACTGTCAATTATAATTTCACTAATTCTCTCTCACTTTATCCCTCTCTACATGCAATTATTCCATTTTTACCAACCTTGTGGTTCCAAGTTATAACATTTGACATTAAGAGCTTGATTTAATCCATCAAACACCTAGTGTGCAACATGAATTTTGTCTCTAGTGAAAGAATTCATGCAAACCTACTCATCCTTGATGTGAAGAACTACGACAAATGGCGTAAACAAATGAAGGTGTTGTTCAGTTACCAATATGTTA